CTCTTTTGGTGCATGACACCTTAGGGCCGATTAAGGCTCCCAATTTGGAGCCCCCTTTGGTGCATGACACCTCAGGGCCGATTAAGACTCCGGATTCAGAGCGCCCTTCGTGGATATCACGATTGGCCAATCCTTGGACGTCCTTCTTCCCGTACGCATAGACTCGATACTGCGACTCATTGCGACGTCTAATTCAGCAAATCTTCGTCCCTCCCAAGTTTCCTGAATGGAAATAAGCAGGACCTCTAGCGTGCACCCGCCCCATTTATCCTTCAATGCATGCAGCTCTCCCGAGGAAACGTTAGTAATCCCAAACGTCAAAAGACGAATGACAACTGTCCAGCCCATGAGTTAGGCCCATTTGGCTTCGCAAGCTCGCGCCTGGCTAAGGCTAGGGCAGATTTACTAATCTGGTCGGCCATGTTTCCAAGCGCAAGCGCCGATCAATCTGTGCCTCAGCTAGCCCACGAGTTAGGCCTATTCGGCTTCGCAAGCTCGTGCCCTGGCTAATGCAAGGGTAGATTTAAAAAATATTTTTTAATTTTTAAAAATTATTTTTGATATTTCAAAAGATAAAATTATTAAAAACAAAAATGCTTGGGATCTCTAATTAGAGATGCCACTAGTGATGTGACAGTGGATCCCATCCATTGCCACTGTCAGTGTTGTAGCTGTTTTTTTTTTTCTTTTCCACCTCATTAGATATGTGTTTAGAGCCTCTAAATTAGAGGTGTCTAGCATTACTGTATTAAAAAATAATGAGTATTTTTTATTTTTTTTATTCTTTTTACTAAATTAATTTTTTATTTTTTAAAAAAAGTTCTTAAACAAATTTTTGAAAATTAGTACCATCTGGAGTTTTATTTTTTTTTCCTAAGAAACTCAATGGCCCGTTTGGTAGAATTGTGGAAAAGTGATTATAACTTATAGCCTAACAACTTATAACTTATAGCTGTGAACATAAGTTGATTTTTGACTTATAAATTTTCTCCTTATCCACTCAAAAAATAAGTTGATTTTTGACTTACAAAAAGTTATAAATTGTATTTTTAAACTGAACCAAATATATTAAAATAACTTAAATTAAACTAAAAATTAAAATAAATTAAAAATAACTCCTACCAAATAAGACCAATGCCATGATGATACCCATGGTACTAGTACACCTCTTTTTTGAGTTTAGCCCACGGTCCACGGAGGGGAGTGGAAAAGTATCCATCACTTCAAATTACCAGGATTGGAAGGTTAGTCAAATAGGTTGTATTTTTTATTTTTTATCAATAAAAGAAAAAAAAATATTATTGATGAAATTTAAAATATACTTAACAGCACATTAAAATAAAAAAAATCTAATCTCATTATTGTGTTCCACATTTTTGAGTAAAAAACTTTTCCAAGAGATGCTTTATCAATAGTGGCCAATGGAGTCTCATTCTTGAGATCAGAGCATCTCCAATCCGATCCTTCTATCAAGAGAATGAAAATAAATTTTTTTATTCAAAAAATAAATATAGAGTATGTCACTATTTTTTTTTTCTTTTAGGTACATCGGAATAGAAATTATTGATTCAAACTCCAATCACAAACCTTTATTTCTTCCGGAAGGGTGTTATCAACCACAATTTTTTATTTATTTATTTTTTTAACTTGTTGGGCATTTTTTTTTAAACATTAATCATCATTTTTTTCTCTAAAGATTTCTCTCGAAAATATTTTCATGAAAAAGTAAATAATTTTTGTTCATTAACAAATATTTAATTTTGAAATTTTTGTAAAATATATTTAATATTATACTCATTTTAAAGGTATAACTTCATCATTTTTAATGATGTCAATTTTATAAAAATTAAATTTACACATTAAAAGTTATTTGTAATATAATAAAAAATATAGAATAAATAATATTTTAGAGACTATTTTTCATCCTCCCTCTAAATATAGAAGATTAACTCATCCTTCTTTTAAATAGAGATAAATTTAGAAGATAGGTTGGAAGAACAAATCTTCCAAATATAAAGTTACAGCGGGTGGGTTAGAGATGCTTTCTGGCTAGTCAAACTAGAGCTTGGTGGATCATATGGTAGTTTACAATGATCATTCTGATTCATCGAAACATGTGTGATGTCAGAAAAATAAAATAAATATATAAATAAATCTAAATTTTTGTCAAATATATTTTACCGGGCATGTTATTATTATACAGTAAACACATAAAATTTTGTAAATATAAATTGAAAACGTAGATGTTTCCAATTTCTGGTCCAAGTTCCCAACGCTCTGTCCCATCCATTTATTGATACTGCCCTATGGTCGCAATTCGAATTTTATGTAATTTATTTAACAATCTTAAAGTAACAAAAGTTAATTCTGAATAACACTACAGCTATTTGTTTTTTTTATCGGTAAAAAAAATAATTTTATTAATAAAAGAGAAGGGAGTTTTGATAAAAAAAAAATAGCATCATCAGCTAATCAATAGATTCCAATTAGGTTGGCAAGGAAGAGTAAGGGTAATCATGTGTGCAGCCCAAAGCAACAAAGCAAACCTCAGCTGTAGAGCAAAGCAGCAGCAAAGAATAAACAAAACCAGCTGCGGAACAAACAAACCCAAAAAAACAAAAAATGGAAATAAAGATCCAAAGCCAATGCATGAAGAAATTTTGGTCCCACCTGTAACCTTTTGATCTCCTATATTTTTATGACAAGGTGATGAAATTTCATTTATTTGTTATTGAATGGATATATATCTACAGTCTCGTCCGGAAAGAGTAGATCATGAGATAGAGAGAGACAGAGGGGGGAAGAGAGAGAAGAAAACCTGATAAAGAGTGAAGAAGGGTGGACTTGCCAGAACCAGAAGGACCCATGATAACAATGATCCTACCAGGCTCAGCAAAACCAGTAAGTCCATTTATCAACTTCTTCGTGTGTCCATTCCCAAAGTTTGGAACCACCACCCTCAGATCTTCCCACACCAAGTACATTCCTCTCTCATCTCCACCATTTAATCCCACTACTCCCTTCTCCATATCATCACCACCACACTCAGCTCTGCTTGCTACCTCTATCTCCATACACACTCTCTCTCTCTCTTCAGTTTGAAACAGTGTGGGCATATATCAATACAATCAGGGGCGGAGGGATGTGGGGGCCAGGGGGTCACGTCCCCCCGACTTTTCAATTTTTTTTTTTGGTTTTGTTTGAGCTTACACGCAGTGCCACATAATACACAGCAGCCCACTTGAACACACGCACACTTAAACCAAATTTCCTAACACACTAACATATGCACCCAAACACACTGACACACCTTCAATTCAATTCAATTAATTTTTTTTTTTTTGATTCATGGAAAAACGGCAGCAATATATATATATATATATATATATTGCTGCCGTTTTTCCATGAATCAAAAAAAAAAAAATTAATTGAATTGAATTGAAGGTGTGTCAGTGTGTTTGGGTGCATATGTTAGTGTGTTAGGAAATTTGGTTTAAGTGTGCGTGTGTTCAAGTGGGCTGCTGTGTATTATGTGGCACTGCGTGTAAGCTCAAACAAAACCAAAAAAAAAAATTGAAAAGTCGGGGGGGGTGACCCCCCTCCCCCCCACATCCCTCCGCCCCTGATTGTATTGATATATGCCCACACTGTTTCAAACTGAAGAGAGAGAGAGAGTGTGTATGGAGATAGAGGTAGCAAGCAGAGCTGAGTGTGGTGGTGATGATATGGAGAAGGGAGTAGTGGGATTAAGTGGTGGAGATGAGAGAGGAATGTACTTGGTGTGGGAAGATCTGAGGGTGGTGGTTCCAAACTTTGGGAATGGACACACAAAGAGGTTGATAAATGGACTTACTGGTTTTGCTGAGCCTGGTAGGATCATGGCTATCATGGGTCCTTCTGGTTCTGGCAAGTCCACCCTTCTTCACTCTTTAGCAGGTTCTCTTCTCTCTCTTCCCCCCTCTGTCTCTCTCTATCTCATGATCTACTCTTTCCGGACGAGACTGTAGATATATATCCATTCAATAACAAATAAATGAAATTTCATCACCTTGTCATAAAAATATAGGAGATCAAAAGGTTACAGGTGGGACCAAAATTTCTTCATGCATTGGCTTTGGATCTTTATTTCCATTTTTTGTTTTTTTGGGTTTGTTTGTTCCGCAGCTGGTTTTGTTTATTCTTTGCTGCTGCTTTGCTCTACAGCTGAGGTTTGCTTTGTTGCTTTGGGCTGCACACATGATTACCCTTACTCTTCCTTGCCAACCTAATTGGAATCTATTGATTAGCTGATGATGCTATTTTTTTTTATCAAAACTCCCTTCTCTTTTATTAATAAAATTATTTTCTTTGTCGAAAAAAAAAATAAATAGCGTGTAGTGTTATTCAAAACTTACTTTTGTCACTTAAAGATTGTTAATTAAAACTTAAATAAATTACATAAAATTCAAATTGTGACCGTATGGCCGTATCAATAAATGGATGGGACAGGGAGTTGGAAGCTTGAACCAGAAAATAAACACAAAGGCCTTGTTTGGTTTGTGTTTCTCAAAAAATTTTGAAAAAAATTTTCTACAAATAAATTTTTAAAAGTAATCAAATCAAACAAATTTTTTCAAAATTTTTTTCCAAAACTTATTTGGTTTATAAGTTTTCCAAACAAATCTCTCTCTCATACATATCAAATCAATCACTTTTTTTAAAACTCTCTCTCAAAATAATTTTTCAAAACATTCGATGATCCAAAACCAGAGGGGAGGGGAGGGGGAGAAGAGGGAGGAGGGAGGGGGAGGTCCGATCGTCGCCGTCGCAGCTCGTCTCTTCGCCGCCGGCCGTCGCAGCACGCCGTCGCAGCTCGTCGCCTCGCCGCCGGCCTTCGCAGCACCGCCGCACCGCCGTCTCCTCCGCCTCCGCCTCCGCTTCCTCCTCCTCCACCACTGGTTATGGCCCCCTCCAGTCCGGCCCACCGGCGGCTCTTCTCCCCTCCCCTCCCTCTCTCTCTCTTTCCCCTCCCCTCTGGTTCTGTCGAGCTCGACGAGGAAGAAGAAAAGAAAAAAAATCAAAAAACCCCCAAAACGACGTCGTTTTGGGGGGCTGATGGAACGGCTGCCGAAAACAGCGGCCGAGGATCCTTGCTCTTTGGATTCAATGCTGTTATCAAAAGAGCCTCCAGCACGTTCTGTGAACCTTACACTCTGTTTCTTTTTCTGATCAAGGGCGAGCCTCCCATAACTACACGAAAAATGCTTGGGAGCACTAATTAGTGCTCCCACTAATTAGGTGGCAGTGGGTCCTGCCATTAATGATATGATGTTTTGGTCTTGGAGTTGTATTTTTTTTTTTTTTACTTTTTTAATGCATTAGTGCTATTAGTGGTGATGTTTTTAGTGGGATGAATCATTGTTGTAACTACACCCCCAACAGCTACTAGTCCACTAAAAATTCATTTGGAAACTCCAGCAGAACCCACTTAATACCATTAATTACCTTTTTAATTCTCAAAAGTATATATTATTTATATCATTTTGATATTTAGGCTTGGTTTGACATGTATGAAAAAAGTCAAAAAGTCACTATTCTATTTAAGTCACATCATCTTATTTAAGTTACATTACTTCTCTAACATATCATTTCAAACTCAACCCAAACCCAACCCATATTTTATAAAAAGTCAAAAAGTACACTTATTTGGATCATCCCAAACAACTTTAATATTTAAATTGTATTAATATATAAAAAGTATTTGATAAAAAAATGTATAATTTTTTTTTAAAAAAACTTGATCTCTCAACCTAATCTTATTATTAAACGTCATTAAAATCAAGGAAAATAATAAATATGGGAATTCACTAAAAAAAACATTACACTTTTAATCACAAAATGTGTAATGTGTGTCATTTAGTGTCCAAAATTACATATAACTCTCATTTTTAACTGTCTATTGATGGAGTTAAGTTACGAGATAAAATTAATTTTTTTTTTTATATATTAGGAACTAAATTAACACTGGTTATATACTGGGGATCAAAATTACACAATACTTATAATTTAGGATTAAAAAAGTAATTAATCCAAGTGAAAAGAAAAAAATAATAATAATTTAAAAGAACTTATTCTTTAGTTTTTCAATAATCAATTTTCGTTAAATTTATTTAAGTTATTCTTTAGCTTGTAAAGTTTTGCATAAAATATTTTGTAGGAACTCCCAAAATTAATTATAAAAATTATAAGCAACCTATATAGGACACACCAAACAGAGTCATTTACTTGACACAAGGGGACGTTATGCTATACACACCTTAAAAGGAGTTTATCATATGTATTTTTAGTTGTCATTTTTTTTATTTAATTATAATTAATTTTTTTTCTTTAGTTACGATTCATGAGATTTTTAATTATGCCTCATGTGGTGTTTGGTTATAATTCTTTTAATAATAACTCAAAAAATATAAAATTATGTCATTTTCTTTTTTAATTATATGACACATATGGCCTTTCTTGACACGACGACATTTTATTCATGGGTAAATTACACTGACATTCCTGAGGTTTATATTTATTACAGTTTCTCCCTCACCTTTTAAAAATTACATCTCCTCCCTTGAGGTTTAAAGTTTCATTATAGATTCTCCTCTCAGCAATTTAATTTTTTTAAATACCAATTTTGCCCTCACTAGGTAAATTACATTGGCACCCCCCACATTTTAGAAACTACAATCCCCTCCTTAAGGTTTAAAGTAACATTACCAATTACCCACTCGGTTAGTATTAGTTGGATAAAAAATTCATTGAAAAAAAATTAATTGGAAAAAAAATTATTTGAAAAAACAATAAATTGAAAAAAAAAATTTGTTAGTAAAATTTTTAAATTTCTGTTTAAAAACCAACATAAACTCATTTTTTGATTTTATATTTTTTCCTCAAATTTACAAATTAAGACAATCATTTATAAAACAAAAAAATTATCAAACAAGTTTTTATAACAGTTTTTAAATTTTTGTAAATATAAATTGAAAATTGAAAACGAAATGGCTACCAAACAGACTTCAGATGGTAAAAATGTCGTAAAATTAATAAATAATTAAATAAGTTATCAACGTAATAAATGACTTATTAAAAGATTCTTAGGTTATGTATGGTTTGATTTTTAGAATTTTTTAAAAAAAATTAAAAATTAATCTGGTTAAGAAATAAAAAATAAAAAATAATTATCATTTTTATATAATTTTTATCTTTCAAGTGGTTAGAAATAATTTTTTACAAATTAAATTAAAACAACTATACGTATGTATATAACCTGCCCAAAAGTTAAAATGATAATTATTTTTTTCTCTTAAATGATAATTTTTTTTTTTATTTCTTAACCAAATTAATTTTTAATTTTAAAAAAAAAATTCTAAAAATCAAACCATACATAGCCTAAAAATCTTTTGATAAGTTATTTCTTACGTTGGTAACTTATTTAATTATTTGTTAATTTTATGACATTTTTACCATCTGAGACTTATTTGATAACCATTTCGTTTTCAGTTTTAAATTTTCAATTTATATTTACAAATTTTTTTAAAAAATGTCATAAAAACTTATTTGATAATTTTTTTTGTTTATAAATGGTTGCCTCAGTTTGTAAATTTGTGAAAAAAACGTAAATTCAAAAAAATGAGTTTACGTTGGTTTTTAAACAAAAATTTAAATTTTTTACTAATAAATTTTTTTTCAAATAATTTTTTTTCTAATTATTATTTTTTTCTATGAATTTTTTTTCTAACTAATACTAACCGAGAGGGCAATTAGTAATGCTACTTTAAACCTTAAGGAGGAGATTGTAATTTCTAAAATATGAGGGGTATCAATGTAATTTACCCAATTAGTGCAAAATTGGTATTTAAAAAAATTAAATTGCTGAGGGAGGAATCTGTAATGAAACTTTAAACCTTAGGGGGAGATGTAATTTCTAAAAAGTGAGGAAAAAATTGTAATAAATATAAACCTCAGGGGGTGTCAGTGTAATTTATCCTTTATTCTTTATTCACTAAGTCACTTTTAGTATGTCAGCTAAAATCAATTAAAATATATCCCAAAAAAAAGGGTAAATTACACTGACACCCCCTGAGATTTATGTTTGTTATCGTTCCCCCCTCATGTTTTGGAAATTACATCTCCCTCCTTGAGATTTAAAGTTTCATTACAGATTCCCCCTTCAGTAATTTAATTTTTTTAAATACCAATTTTGCCTCACTAGGTAAATTACATTGACACCTCTCACATTTTAGAAATTACAATCCCCTCCCTAAGGTTTAAAATAGCATTATCAATTGCCCCATTGGTTAGTATTAGTTAGGGAAAAAAAATCATTGGAAAAAAAAATTATTTGAAAAAAAAATTTATTAGTAAAACTTTTAAATTTCTGTTTAAAAATCAACGCAAACTCATTTTTTGAATTTACATTTTTTTTTCAAATTTATAAACTGAGACAACCATATATAAACCAAAAAATTATCAAACTAGTTTTTATGACAGTTTTTAAAATTTTTGTAAATATAAATTAAAAAATAAAAACAAAATGGTTACCAAACAGGCTTCAGATGGTAAAAATGTCGTAAAATTAACAAATAATTAAATAAGTTACCAACGTAAGAAATAACATATCAAAAGATTCTTAGGGTATGTATAGTTTGATTTTTAATTTTTTTTTTAAAAAAAATAAAAAATTAATTTGGTTAAGAAATAAAAAATAAAAAATAATTATAATTTTAACTTTTGCGCAGGTTATATACATACGTATGGCTGCTTCAATTTAATTTATAAAAAATTATCTCTGACCACTCGAAAGATAAAAATTATATAAAAATGATAATTATTTTTTAGGTTTTATTTCTTAACCAAATTAATTTTAAATTTTTTAAAAAAATTTCTAAAAATCAAACCATACATAGCCGAAAAATCTTTTGATAAGTCATTTCTTAAATTGGTAACTTATTTAATTATTTATTAATTTTACAACGTTTTTACCATCTGAAGCCTATTTGGTAACCATTTCGTTTTCAGTTTTCAATTTATATTTACAAAAATTTTAAAAACTGTCATAAAAACTTGTTTGATAATTTTTTTGATTTATAAATAGTTGTCTCAATTTAGAAACCAAACAGAGGCTCACTGGGTTAGATTAGGGTTTTAAACAGAACAACCACTTCGGCTTGCAATCAATCGAACCAGAGAAAGAGAGGAATAAGCACAATAGAGAGAGAAGAGAGCGAGAGGAGCGAGGGGAAGAGATGGAAGGAAGGGGCAACACACAGAGAGAGAGAGAGAGAGAGGGGGCGACAGAGAGAGACGAAAGTGAAAGTAGAGAGAATACCATGCAAGAAAAGAGAATATAGATCTGTCAACCGGTTGCTCCGGTGTCAAATTTTTCAAAATTAAATAATTCAACCGTCAAGATCAACTTATGTAATCTAATGGTCAATAATGAAGGTGCATATGGTGTGCAACCTTTTAAGGGTTGCACACTACAACGTGACCCAAATCTTAGATCAGTAGTACTTGAAAAAATTGGCCGTTCCTTTCATCTTTATAGTGTGCCTATTATGTACTTACCTTTGCATTGATTCTATAAAATATTTGTGCTTTCAGAAATGTTTTGTTTTTTTTTTTTTTTAAATTATTTCTTAGACAATATAGTGGAGATTTATATAATTTTTATGAATGATGTATTATTCATTAAATTTAGATGATTATGATATTTGAATATTATTTTTTATATTAAGTTAGTGTTGTTTGTGAATAAAAATTAACAATTAAAAAGTATTACATAAAAAATATTTATTTTAATTTTTTGCCATATTTAAAATTTTAAAAGCATCATATTCTAAAGGATTATTTACCAATAAATCCTACTTCACAAACTGTTATACCAAATAGTCCTGCTGGTGGGTTGATTTGGTCCTTTTTGGTTTTTTTTTTCCACTTTTGTTTCACTGTGTGGACGAGAGTGTCCTTGGTTTAATGTGGTACTGTTTTGCTGGAACAGTTCCTTTTTTGGAAACGTTGCTCATTCCGGTTTGGCTAATTTTGGTGATACATTCAAAAACGTTTCACCAATTGTGAGGTAGGGTTTTCGAATTTGAATGTGTGTCTTCTTTGCCGACGGCTGTGTGGCACACCTTCAGAGTTTCGGAAAACTGCCTTGCGTACACTATTCTGTACCTGGCATGCTCACTTTTCCTTGGGTCGTTTACCTTTGATATGGATTGTAGGCATTTACATTTTGTTCTGTGTTTTTTCATGTTTCACGTATGTGGGTGGTTTATGTATGTTGGCCGTTCATGGTTATCCATTGTGGCTGATGTGTTGGGTGTGTGTGGAACTTCGCTCTGTATGGGGAACAGAGCCACATGCGTTTTAGAGGTCTCGTTTGTAATGATGTGTGGTGTTCTAGTGGTGTTATTCTTTTCCTTTTTGTTAAACCAAGTTCAGAAGTGTCACGTTTTTCTTACGGGATGTGATCTGTGTGGATAACGTAGGGACATGTGTTTTGCTGTGGGTGGGGAATCATATTGTTAAGTGTGTGTGTTGCCCCGCTCCATAGTGTTTTTAAATTTTTTTTCCCTTCCCCCCTCATGAATCATACGTTCACATTCGCAGGAGGATGGACAATGGAATTATGCTAATATGTTGTTACGACAATGTGAATATTGCTATTAATCTGCAACTTCCATTTCGATTTGACGACGTGGTCAGTGGTTTGTGTGAAAAGTTTGATGGGCTCACACCTGCTGATGCATGTTTCTACTTCAAGATGCCCGGTTATAACATTTTCATATTGCAGAATGATGTTGATGTGGCGAACATGGTGTGTCTTGCACGGTCTTTTCAATTGAAATGCGTTGATGTATTAATTGAAGTACGACGTGCACAAGACGATGACAATGCTAGCACCATATTACAAACAGGTCATTTTGAGCCGACCGATGTGTTTGACGACGTGGTCAGTGGTGTGTGTGAAAAGTTTGATGGGCTCACACCTGCCGATGCATGTTTCTACTTCAAGATGCCCGGTTATAACATTTTCATATTGCAGAATGATGTTGATATGGCGAACATGGTGTGTCTTGCACGGTCTTTTCAATTGAAATGCGTTGATGTATTAATTGAAGTACGACGTGCACAAGACGATGACAATGCTAGCACCATATTACAAACAGGTCATTTTGAGCCGACCGATGTGTTTGACGAGTCGGACTTGGATGACAAAGATGATTTATTGGCAAAATTCTGCCCTCATGTTGACAAGGTGTTTTTGTCTGCCGAATGGGCTAACGGGATTCAACGTATTGGTCAAACTTTTGAAGGTGGGGCGGATGAATTCCGAAGTGTTCTTCGCAAGTATGCTATCGAATGTGGCTTCCGTTTTAAATATGTCAAAAACGATTCTGTGCGGATCACAGCTGTATGCATGATGAGGGAATCAAAGGGATGCATGTGGTCGGTACACGCACGCGTTTTGCATGCTAACGGATTTTTCTACCTTCGCAAGTGGAATAAGGAGCATATTTGTGGCGTAGCTGTTCGGACCCTAAAAAACCCCAGGGCTGGTTCAGATTTAGTGTCCGATGTTATTTCTGATCGGGTACGTGACAAGCCACTCACGCGTCCTATAGATGTTGTCTATGATCTGAAAAAAGATTATGGATTAGAGGTTAGCTACCGGGTTGCGTGGTTAGGTGTTGAAAAAGCTCGGGGTGAGATGTTTGGTGCACACTCCATTTCGTTCGACCAATTGCGATGGTACAATTCCGTTGTCATTGAAAACAACCCTGGAAGTTACGCCAATATTGAGTGTGATGAACACAACAACCGTTTCATAAGGTATTTCATATCATTTAAAGCATGTATCGATGGGTTCAATCATTGTCGGCCATTGCTATTCTTGGATGGGACTTTTCTGAAGGGAAAATTCAAGGGGCACTTGCTAGCTGCTACTACGAAGGATGGCAATCAAGGTACTGTTATAATGTTGACACAAATCATTTTCGTTGTACAATAATAATTTCATTATTTACTACCGAAACGATGTTGCAGTGTACATTGACTCACTCACATGACAATTGGTCTCACCAACACACCACCAACATATTTGCAAAACTAACTCATAATAACCCTTTCCAGGTCTCTTCCCTGTAGCCATCACAATTGTTGATTCGGAAAACACCACAAACTGGGCATGGTTCTTGTGACATCTCGCAAATGTTGTCAATAGTCACAGGACCCTTACGTTCGTATCTGACCGACATGCAGGCTTATTGGAATCAATACCCATCATATTCCCCACAGCCCATCACGCATTTCGCCTACAACATTTGTAACGTAACTTGCAACATAAGTTGCGATATGTCAATACTTCATATAGAGCTGCGATGTTGACAAAATTCCAGGCTTGTGCTTACGCACCCACTGTGGCTTCATTCACCCAATGCGTCGAGGAATTCACCAGATGTGGACGGAAGGTTGTTCCCGCATTCGTAAAAGACTTACCCCTTCAATTTTGGGCTAATGTTTACTTCCGGTATGTATTTCAATCTTTCTTTTTCCTTTTCTGTTTATATTGCACGTCACACTTTTTGCTCATCAAATTTTCATGCCATTTGCCTACATCCTCACTAATATTGTATTTTTCCAATGCCAGCGGTTCACGGTACGGTGAGATGAGTTCCAATGCCGTTGAATCGTTCAACTCGTGGATACGGGAAGCACGCCACCTACCAATAACTCAATTGGTTGACAGTATTCGAGTTAATATTATGCGTCAGATGACGAAACGCAGAATAAAAGCACAAGCGTGGCCCGGTGTTATTTGCCCAAAAATGGAAGCTCGTTTGGTCAAAGCGTACAACAAAGGTAGATCATGGCTTGTAAGCCAATCCACCGACAATGTCTACGAGGTCCATTCTTTTCCATCCGTCATGGTTGACGTTGGCAAACGTACATGTTCTTGTTTCAAGTGGCAAATCAATGGATTTCCATGCTCTCACGCAGTTGTTGCTATCCGAAACAGCGGACTCGACCTCTATGATTTAGTTGCTGAATTTTACCACGTCACTGCTTACCGAAACTCATACGAACAAAACATACAACCCATTCCAACTATTGAGAAACCACCATTCAATCCATCTGATTTTGTCATACAACCACCGTCGGTCAAATGACCACCAGGCCGACCCAAAAAAAAAAAGAATTCTTTCCCAAGGTGAAGAAGTGCAACAAATTCGATGCAGCCGTTGTCAACGCATGGGTAACCACAACCACACAACATGCAAAAAACCAATTTAGCTTCATGCGCAGAGTCATAAATATCCATTTTTTTCATACTTTGTTCTACTGCAATTGATGTTCATCTAAATAATTGGGTATGCCACACCCATAACTTAGTCTTCTATGACAGACAAGTTGACAAAAAACAATTTACAGCTTCCAGTTTATAAGTACCGGGTGAACAATTTATACCCCGTTACCATGAATAACTTTTCAACTTATGATTTTTTCTTTGTTTCAAAGATATTGTCATTTTTTGTCAAACTTATTGTGTGGATGCTGTTCAAATGTTCAAATAGTTCACATGTCATACGTAAACATTCCTGCGACACGACTTCAACCACCCCGTATGTTGTCAACATGACACGGGGTTCCGTCACATTACACGCCCACCTAGAGCATACGAAGCCACTTTTGAAATACATTCATCTCCCACACCAAACCAACACATTACACATACCCATTATCACACAGTCACCTGTCACTATGTTCTCATAAACAGCATACTTAACATGCACCACCACACAAAAAAAAAATGATGAAAAATTACCATTGAAAAACAAAACATTTTCATGTCTCAAATCAAACCATACGTTTCCAACAAAAAATAATTACTTCATCACCATTTTAATTACATTTCAAAAACCCACACTCCAACATATACCATACTGGTCCCAGTCAAAAAAACCACTGAACCAAAAAACAGTGGATCAGGGAAGTGTATTCGTAGCCAACTAATTAATCATCATGATTCTGTTTCAAGGATGTCACAAAAAATTAATAAACCTACATCCTAATTATACTGCTTCTAGTCTTTCAAACCACGTCCTGGATTGTTCACAAACGCCTTAACCATATTTGCACGTAGTATGATGCAATTACTTCCTTGTAGCGAACGTTCCACGTCACATCGATGCACATACTATCGCATAATCGCATATACAATGACCCCACAATCGAGCCTGCACAAACAAAATTATTGACATGTCAGCAGCCAAACGCGCGGTACCCACAACCTTACACAATACAGTCCCCCCAACAAAACGCAAACAAAATTAACTTACGTTCCTGGTTTCTATTGTGGACACTTGGACACAGCTTCCAGCGAGCTGTTGAAATTCGCCAGGATGCTTTGCTCATCTAACCCAAAATCACGCAAAGTCTGTTTCATTACATTAGTCACACGTTCTTTCTGCCATAGTTCACACAAACCAATTAAACAATCTTCAAAAACAAAACCCACACAATCTATCACATAATCACAAGGAAATTGAAAAAAACTAACGTAACAAACCATACCAATAGGGTTGCTACATTGTGATGTACCTCAGTTCTGTCTCCACGCTGCCTCATGGGATTGTAATGTTTCCAAGTCCCATCTTCTGTATCATACACTACAAGTGTCCAATGACCATCGTGACACATTGGGAAGTGGATGAACTGACACTTGCTCGCAGCAGACACATTCGTACGGACAAATTTTTCCATTGCACGTACATCATCATTTTTCACCATATCCTACAGAACATATACACCATCAACACAACCCATAGGCACACAACACAAACAATGTTCACTACATAACTACACTACTCACCAAACACACACTACTAAAAAAATACGACTTATCAGCCAAGTCATTATCTCCATACATCCTCAAATGCTCACTTTTAAGCAACTCAACATACGCATCAATTACCTGTCAAAAAACATAAACAAATAAACGACTTATATTCACATAACACCTATGCAACGTATGTTGTCCCATTGTTCTTTCTACACATGTCCACAGAAAGCATTTTTCCTACAAAAAATTAACATTCTCGCATTCCCCCGAATGCTACTTTGGCGTATGAGGTTCTTCACATCACTAAAGTACACCACCACACTAGCTGTGCCATCCTCTCACATGACCGCCCTACGCAAACCAACAAATATCAGTTCCCAACAAAAAGTAACATGACAACAATTTTCAACAAATCCCAATAAAATTCATGCGTACCTATCACCATGACTATCATAACCTTGCTTGATTCTACACTTTTCTTCCACTGTCATCATTTTCCACACACCCAACCTGTTGTTAATATCAAATCCGGACCACTTATTCCCCGTTACGACCACAGCGTCCACATCAATAACTCCGTCATTCTTAACACAATCATCATTTCGCACAACAATGCAACTCTCTGTGACTGACTTCTTATTACGCCCATGTAAGTTGGGGTACTCAAAATCAGGCAATTTCCGTTCTTGTCTCACTTTGTTTTTAATGTTACGAACAAACGATGTTTGCACCCCAAAAACAATTACCCCTTCATCCACATCAGCTAGATCCACATTCACAATACCTGCACTAGTTCTCCCATAATGCCCACCACCCGACTCAACAACTTCATATCCGGCATTCAGACCCACAGCCTCATTACACATATAAGCACCCCCAATATGGGCCCTAATCGGCGACACATTGTGAAATTTTATTTTAAAAAATATTATCTATATTTTTTGGTGTCTAGTATGATAGAAAATGAATGTTAACAAGAAAAATATTTTTCATAATTAACGAAAAATAAGTTTATTTGAGCAAAACATATTTTTACTTTTGAAATGTGAAAAACATATTGCAGAATTTTTACTCATACCACAAGATTACCATCACCACTACCACCTTCACTACATTACCACCACCCCACCACCACCTCTACCAACTCACCACCACTATCGCTGCCACCACTTCCACCATCCAACCACTACCTTACCGTCACCACCTCTGCAATCCTACCATTACCAGCACCACCATTAGCGATGGAAAAATACCCTTACTCATCAAGTCCCTAACTCTCTTCGATCTTAATGGGAGGAGTTTGGAGGTGGTTAAATAGGGTATGGTCAGATTTCGAAAAATATTTAAACAATCTAATTGGGTTTGAGTCTGGGATAATATATTTTTACTCACCTAACCCGCATATATAGTAATAAATAAATAATAATGTTATATATAATATGTGCATAATATATTGTTGAGTTTATATATATATATATATATAACATGTACAATGTATTATTGAATTTTTATTATGTTATATACATAATACAACTTTAATTATTGAGTTTCAATATTAAAACTATAATATATGTACAATGTTATATAGTTTTAATTATAAATATCATTTTATAGTTATAATTATTGAATTTTTTTTTGGTGGATATAATTATTGAGTTTTAATATTACTATTAAATTTCTTATTGTATTACGGATCGAATTGGGTAGCTTCGGGTTCAAGGTTCGGGTTGGGGTCAAGGTCAAAGGTAGGGTATGGGGACCCCAACCCATACCTTACCCATTGCAATCCCTAACCACAACCACTTCCACAATTCCACAACTACCATCTCACCACCACCTCTACCACTGATGCTACCATATAAGTTGTAACCAAATATTTAAAAAAAAAATTATAAATTTGTTTTTTCCAAAAAAAATTTCTATTAAGACAAATAGAGTGAAAAATTATTTAAAAGAGAGAATTGGGATTAAGGTTCAAGTCCAACACTAAGGGGTAAATCTTTTGGTCCTATGAGATCTTCAAGGAAGGGGTTTGGGTTTGCTTATTCAGTGAATTTTTAATTTTTTTATGAAAAAATATGTATAAATGTAAAGAGATAATGTGATAACTTATAACAAATAAATAAATAAGTTGCTTGTGATTGTTGCCAAACCACCCCTGGGTTTGAACAATGCATGCTTCTCAAATTTAGGTTATAAATTTTGTTGTTATTAAATGTATTTTATAAATTTCCATACAAATAATACTTAAAAAGGAAAAAGGAAAAAAGAGCAGGACATATGGTATATCCCTTCCCTTCAAGTACAATGTTGTTGGCACCAATTAAATGCTAAGGTTGCGCTTGGTAGAGTTTTGTAAATATGATTTGAAAGTATGAGTTGTATTTTGAGTTTGTGAGTTGTGGAATTATGATTTGGGTGTAGAAAATTTGTTTGGTTATGGTTTTTGAATAGCATTTAATTGGTTCCAGCAACATTGTACTTGAAAGGAAGGGATATACCATAAGGAATGTACCATATTGGGCCGTTTGGTGCAGATGATATAAGTTTATAATTTATTTTATTTTGAGGATTTGTGTTAAATTATTTTGTATAATTTATTAGAACAAAATAATTTAGATAAATTAACAAATAATTATTTAAAAGTTAGATGAGAGTTGTTTTCAATTTTTAGAGACAATTACAAGAAAAACTCTAAGATTTTAGAGATAATTGTGTTGAAAAGTTCAAGTTAAGAAGGATATAAGGCATTAAGGTTAGTGGATATTTTTTTGTTAGTGAGGGTCCATTATTTATGAAATAGTTTGGAGAGAAATCTTTTTGTTGGTTTTGGAGGACATTTTGTTTTTAATTTTACCTTTTAATTTATCTGTTGACATTTTTTTGACTATCTGTTAAAATTATTTTCCATATGTTCAAATTTTTGTTTATATGTTCAATTTTTTTTTGTCTATTTGTTCAAAATTTCTAACTATTTGTTTAAATTTTTTTACTATTTATTCAAAATTTTCCCTTTATCTGTTCAAATTTTATTATTTGTTTAATTTTTTCTTTGAATTCAATCTGTCTAAATTTTATCTGTTGAAATATGAAGCTAAACAAAATCCCGTCAAGCCAAACAAACCCCTACCTATTGCAATACCAAGTCAAACCAAACCCTATCTAAGGTATAGCAATCTGTTTCATCATTATTACTATAACGATTTTGATTTAGACTCGACTCGTTTATTGTTTTGAATTCGAGATTCCTTATCTTATCTGGTTGTTCATATTCTTATTCGTCATATTCTTGATTGAGTTTGGTTGTTCGGATGTCGTTGTTAAGCT